TTGATTAAATTCTGTTTTGTTAACATTTTATGTCATAATACTTGTTTTCAACAAAGATGGCTGGATTATTCTTTATTCTCTGATTCTTCAACACTAACCGGATGTTTCCAACAATTCAGTTAAATTCTAACACTATCTGGAGTTAGCACAGACCCCACAGGTTAAGGCCTCAGTCCCCCAAGACTCTCCTCACTTAAGACGCCAGTCACAAGTCCCAGGTTGCCACAATTACTTCTGACCAACCAGCTATAAATTCAGGTGTCACCACAACTCCCTCTTCAGATTTGATAATTCACTAGAACAACTCTCAGAACTCATGAAAGTGCTTTACGTACTGTTACTGGTTAATTATAGGGACAAAACTCAGGAACAGCTAAATGGAAATATGGTATTGGGGGAGAAGGGCAGTGGCACAGAGCTTCCATGCCCTCTCTGGCATGCCGCCTTCCCAGTATGTCATATATTCACCGTCCCAGAAGCTCTACCAATCTCTTTGTTCAAGAGTTTTTATAAACCAGTCTCCAGCCTTACTCCCCTCCTATGAGGAATGGCCCTGAAAATGCCCACCCGCTAATCAAGTATTTGGTCTTTCTGGTAACGAGCCCTATCCTGAAGCTATCTCAGGATTCCCCTTCCTGAGTCAAAAGACATTACTATCACTCAGGAAATTCCAAGGGTTTTAGAAGCTCTGGGCCAGGAACTCGGGACGAAGACCAAATATATTTTTTTCATTATACCATCCTAGTAATGAGAAATTATCTTAATAGAATTCTAGATCTTAGCAGTCAAGGCTTTCAGCAGTTGCTTTGCACCTGTGTCAGTTATCTGGCCACAGTTATCAATATGGTGACATCAATATGGTGACTTCTTTTTCAGTTTATTACTATTTATTACTATTATTAGAAGACCATATTACTATCTCAGTACTTCATCTTATACTAGTTGAGTTTATGGAGATTTTAGTATACAAAGTGGTTATATACAAAAGTTCATTTGTAATTTCACAGTTTTAAATTTAGAGCATATTTTCCATTGAAACAGTAGGGTAAGTAGTGAATGTTTTCATACCAAGAAGAAAATTGACAATGTTTGAGCACTGAGGATGAAAAGGCTGATGATTTCTTTGAAAAATAGGGAAATGAGAGCTTTCATTACTGTTTTGTTTAGTGCCAGTCTATAGATGTCAGAGGAAAGATATTGTGTGTTGTGGACTGAACTGTGTTCCCCCAAAATAAGTATGTTGAAGCCCTAACCCTTTTGTGACTATATTTGGAGATAGGGTTTTTAAAGAGGTAATTGAGGTTAAATGAAATCATGAGGGTAGAGCTCTAATCCAATAGAACTGGTATCCTTATAAGAAGAGAAGGAGACACCAGAGATGGGCACACACAGAAAAAAGGCCATGTGAGGACACAGCAAGAAGGCGGTCATCCCCAAACCAAAGAGATAGGCCTCAAGAAAAATCAAACCTGCCAACACCTTGATCTTGTTCTTTTAGCCTCCTGAACTGTGAGAAAATAAATTTCTGTTTTTTAAACCACCCAGTCTGAAGTGTTTGTAATTGCAGCACTAGCAAACTAATCATGTTATTTTAGAATAAGATTTCAACAAATGCTCCATGGAACATTAGTATCTAGGAAATGTTAATAGAGATTTCTTAAAAGGGATCCTTGGCTTAATAAATTTGGGAAATAATCTATAATATATTCTCCCCTTAAGGATTGACAGTGCACATTCATATGTTAAACATTCTTAGAAACCTTGAAGCAAAGAAATCTGTTTAATTTTTTTTTTCAACTTCAACATTTCTCAAACATATTTGTCTACAGAACACGTCCTTCTTTTTAAATGAGTTGTACATTTCTCATCCAGAAGAAAGTAGGTGGAGGGAGAGACATATGCCTCTTCATCTCCTTCTCTCTTCATATACCCCTAAGGTATGGCATGGTTTTATATTTCTATATATAAGGAGCACATAGAATGTGTTCTTAGTAAATCCTGAGCATGAGATGTTCACCAGTATAACTTAGTTGAAAAACAAAGTAAGCAAAGAAGGGGAAATGAATGTCTTGTATGTAGGATATAGGAGATCTAGCATCTTATTTTAACTTTATTTAGAAAGCCATTTTAGTTGATTAGTTGTATTTTATATAATGACTTGAAATATTTTTCACCCAGTTTGAAATACTATATGTTTTTATTGATATGGATCTACATTTATAAGGATTATTTCTGTGATAACTTTATTTCTTCTTTGCCTGAAAGGTTTCACAGCAATATATAGTAATTAAAATCAGAGCCCTTAGAATCAGACCACCTGTATATGAATCTTAGCACTTTTTCTCCTTTTTGGGCAGATAACCTCGCCAAGTATTAATTTCCTCCTTTGAAATAAGTGAAGTAATAGTACCTACCTTTGGGGGTTGTTGTGAGGCACTTAATATAGTGCCCATTACTCAGTATAATTAGTTATTTTTATTCTGAAAAAAGTTACACTATACATATAGAAAGGTATAGAACATAAGTTTTGATTCTCTATCATAAAAAGCATAGTAGTTGCTGGCTTTGTTATTTTAATTGAGGTGAAATTCACATAACATTAATCATTTTAAAGTGAACAGGTCAGTGGAACTGAATACATTCACGGTGGTGTGTAACCACCACCACCTGTAGTTCCAAAACATTTTCATCACCTCAAACTAAAACTCAGTACCCATTAAGCAGTGATTCACCATTCCCTCCTCTCTTCAACTCCTGGTGACTACTAATCTGTTTTCTGTCTTTATGGATTAACCTATTCTGGATGTTTCATATAAGTGTATAATCATAAAACGTGGCCATTTGTGTCTGGTTTCTTTCATTTAGCATAATATTTTTGAGATTTACCATGTTGCAGTAGTATCTACTTCATTTATTTTATAACAATAATATTTTAATATATATTAATACATTTGAGTTGGTTCCACCTTTTGGCTGTTGCGGATAGTGCTGCTGTGAACATTTGTGTAGACGTATTTTTTTAGGTTCCTGTTTCACTTCTTTTGCGTAAATACCTAGGAGTGGAATTGTTGGATCATATGGTAATTTTATGTTTAACTTTTTAGAATGTGTGTTGCTGAAGTGAGCATGATGTTTAACTTTTTGAGGAACCACCAAACTGTTATCCATAGTAGCTGAAATAATTTACATTCCTACCAGTAGTGTACAGGAGTACCAGTCTCTACATCCTCATCAACACTTGTTATTTCCTTTTTGGTTTTTGATGACAGCCATTCTGTTAGATTAATTTCCCTAATGACTAATGATATTGATCATCTTTTTCATGTGTTTATTGGCCATCTCTATATCTTCTTTAGAGAGATGTCTGTTCAAATCCTTCACCCATTTTTAATGGGGGTGTTTGTCTTTTATTTTTGAGTTGTAAGAGTTCTTTATATATTCTGGATAATAGACTCTTACCATATAATATACATATTTTTCTCCTTATATATTAGCAGACTTATTTATAAAGTCTGCTAAAAAAATGTTTTTTTTTTTTACTTTTCAAATTCCATTTATTTTATTTGAAAGAATTTACAGAGTAAAATGCTTATTAGTTGCAGGATTGTCTTTTCAATTGATAATGTAGGTTGTAGGTTGTCTTTTCAATTGATAATGTCTTTTGATGCACAGTTTTTAATTTTCATAAAGTCCAATTTATATATATTTTTTCTTTTGTGGTTTGTGCTTTTAGTGTCATATTTAAGAATCTACTGCAAAATCCCAGCTCATGTATGTTTATTCCTGTGTATTCTTTAAGAATTTTATGATTTTTATCTATAATATTTTGGTCATTCATCATTTAGGGGTTAAATTTTATATATGCTGTGCAGCAGGGGTCAGTTTTTCTTTTTCATGTGGATATCCAGTTCCCCCAGCACCATTTGATGATGCTGGGGGAACTGGATATCCACATGAAAAAGAAATGAGACTGTTCTTTCTGTTGTTTTTTAAAATCTCTTTACTAAGAAGGTACTCGTGAAGTGATTAATATCACTGATTCAGGAAACAGAATATTTGGATCCAAATTTGACATTACTGCTTACTGCCTTGTGATCTTGGGCAAGTTATTTAAACTTGCTAACACTCAATTTTCTTATTATAAAATAATAGAAAAATCAACCCCATGGCATTATTAACATTATATTGTATAATATGTATAAAGCACTTAAAAGATTCCTGACAATGAGACAACAGTTTGTGTAAGAATTACCATCTATATCTGTGATCCTTTGAAGAAATCACTATTTACTAACAACTATCTAACTTATCACCCGTCAGGCCTAGACTAGTATATTCATTCTTTAGAAGGAAAGACTGATGGATCCAGATAACTTAAATAAATTAGAAATACATTGAGTGGACCCTTACAGTACTGCAGGGCATTGTATATGTTATTTACTCCTTAACAACAATCCCTATTTTATAAGAAACCTGAGGTTTAGAGTGTAAACAAACTTTTCCAACATAACCATCACATAATGATCCGGTGGCAGATGTGGGAATCATTGGAAGGTCTGCTGCTTCATTCTGTTATGACGACTTAGTGTAAAAATAAAAAAGATTTAATGAAAACATAACCTGTCATTCTTTCTAAAATTTCACATAATACAGGAGTAAGGAAATATGAAAAAGGTGTGTGTGTGTGTATGTGACATATATATGTGCCATATAAAACATTGTATACAAATCAGTTCTCTAAGGGAATAGTTTATTGTGATTTATATGTCCATTTGGCTAAACCTCAGATTATAACATACTTGTACTCACTTTTGTAATTCTTTATATAATCATTATTTATAATTCAAGTTTGAATATTTGTTTAATATATTGCAAGAAAAAATTATAACATCTAGTAAATCAAGGTTTATTTTTTATTGATGTCTGAATCCAATATTTTAAATGGTATTGAAGAAAATTTTACAACCCATACATTTAGGTTTCTTTTGTGGTTCTCTTAGATGTAATAAAGGAGCAGAATCGAGAGTTACGATGTACACAGAGGGCTATAAGCAGAGATCGAGCAGCGTTAGAGAAACAAGAAAAACAGCTGGTAAGTTGAACATTAAATTTCAGTTTAAGTTTTCAAACAAATTTGGAAATTAGTGTTGGAATAATTTGCTAACTAGGAAAAAGACACATGGCAGGTGGTGATTTGCTTTACCAAGAAGTGGCAATGTCTTTCTGCAATTTCTGCTTACCTTTGTTTATTGTGTCATTCTGCAGACTTTTATCAGAATTCTTTGCATTCTGCTGATTATAAAATCAAGTTATTCTTTATTTTGTAAAAGTCATAAATGACTAGGAAGAAATATTGCTCAAGACAGAGCCAACATCTCAGTTACGAACAAAGATAAAATAGTCTTGGAAACTAGAGGTTTACAAGAAAATAATTATGTTAACTTATAGGTGTCTTACTTGATATTTTAACTTGATATTTTAACTATCATTGTGTCTGTGATAATGAATGCACTTTTAAAAATAGATTGGCTATCTTTAAATATTTTTATTATTTTTTTAAAACATGTTGCTTAAAATATTTTTAAACACAGCATGATTGAGGTATAATTGACATGCCATAGACTGTACATATTTAAAACATACAATTTGATACATTTTGACATATGTATCAACTGGTGAAACCATTATTGCGGTCAAGGTAATAAACATATCCATCATTCCCCAAAAGTTTCCTTATTCTCTTTGTCATCCCTCCTACCCTACCCCTTCTTGTCTTCCTCCTCCTTAATTAGGCAAACACTAATGTCACTGTAAATTAATTTACATTTTTAGAATTTTATATAAATTGAATTATATATTATGAACTCGTTTTGCATATGACTTTTTCACTAATAACTATTTTGAGATTAATTAATGTTACATGCATCAGTATTATTATTATTATTATTATTATTATTTTATTATTTTTTTTTTTAATGAATGCTATTCTGTTGTGTGGATGTTCCACAATTTGTTTATCTATTTACCAGCAAGTAGACATTTAGGTTATTTCCAGATTTTGGCTACTTTGAATAAAGTTACTTTAAACAGTCAGTTGAAGTCTTTGTGTGAACATATGTTTTCATTTCTCTTGGATATATTCTTAGGAGTAGGATTGCTGGGTTAAATGTATATTTAATTTCATAAGAGTGCTAAAAAATTTTGCTAAGTGGCTATACTGTTTTCTGTTCTCACCACCTATGTATGCAAGTAAAGTTGTTCTAGATCCTGGCCATTCTAGTGGTGTGTAGTAGATTGCCATTTTAAATTGCATTTTCCTGTCACTATTGATTTTCAGCATCTTTTCATGTGCATATTTCCATTTACATATCTTCTTTGCAAAAGTGTCTGTTGAAATATTTTACCCATTTTTTTTTTCCATCAAGTTGTTTTCTAATTATTTACTTCTAAGAGTTCTTTATGTATTCTGGATACACGTGCTTTATTAAATATATGTTTTGCAAATATTCTCCCCAATTCTTGGCCTTATCTTTTATTTTCCTAATAATGTCTTTTGAGGAACAGAGATTTTTATTTTATTATTATTTTATTTTATTGTTATTATTTTCTTCTATGATTAGTGCTTTTAGTGTCTTATCTACGAAATCTTTGCTTACCCCAAAGTCATTAATATTTTTTTCCTTGTTTTCTTCTAGAACTATTATAGTTTTAGTTCTTACATTAGAACTATGAAACATATTGAAGTAAATTTCACTGTGTTGTCAGGGTAGAGGTTTACTTTTTGCATATGGAATTCAGTTGCATCAACATCATTTGTTGCTGACATCTTTCCTTGTTCAAACACCTTGTCATCTTTGTGGAAAATCAGTTGTCCAAATACACATGAGACTCATTCTGGGTTCTATGCTATTCCATTGATCTATGTGACTATTCTTAAACCGATACCACATGTTTTATTAATATAGCTTTATAGTAAGTCTAAAAGTTATATTACTGTTAATCCTTCAACTTTGTAATTTTTTCAAAATTATTTTGGCCGTTTTTGAGGTTCTTTGCATTTCCATATGAACTTTAGAATAAAGTTGTCAATTTCTAATAAAAAAGATCACATTTTGATTGGGATTACATTGGATACGTAAACTAATTTGGGAACACTTGACATCTTAACAATATTGAGCCTTAACAAACCATGAACATGCTTTATCTCTTTATTTAGATATTTAACAGTGTTTGTACTTGTAATTATACAGATCCTCTACTTCTTTTGTCAGATTTATCTGTAACTATTTCATATATTTGATGCTAGATGATATTTTGAAAATAAATTCAATTTTTGATTTTCTAGTATTGGTATAAAGCAATGCATTAATATCTTGTATATTAATCTGGAATCCTGTAATCTTCCTAAATTCCTTTATTCTAGTAGCCTTTTGTAGATTCTATTAGATTTCTACATGGACAATCATGTTATCTGTGAATAAATTAAACTTTTCATCTTCTTTTCCAATCCTGATGCTTTCTCTTTTCATACTTTATTACACTGGCTAGAGTTTCCAGTGTTAAATAGAAGTGATGATAGCAAATATCCTCATATTTTTTACTAACCTTAGGGGGGAACATTCAGTCTTTTACCATATTAAGTATGATAGTAACTGTAGGATTTTTGTAGGTGCCCATTCTCAGGTTGAGGAAGTTCCTCTTTATCCAGTTTGCTGAGACTTATCGGGAATGAATTTTGTCAAATTATTTTTTCCATTTTTGCATCTCTTGAGATGATTATCATGTAGTTTTTCTCTAGTCTGTTGATATAGTGACTTGCACTGATTAATTTTGCAAAGTTGAATCAAGCTTTTTGCTCCTAGGATAAACTTCATTGGTAATAATGTGTTTGAAATATTTTTTGTTTCAGTATGCTGAAATTTTGTTAAAAATGCTTGCATCTATGTTCATAAAAGGTATTGATTTGTAGTTGTCTTTTCGTGTCATGTCTTTTATTTGCTTTTGACATCAAAGAATGCTTATCTTAAAAACATGAGTTGAAAAGTGTCACTCTTAACTTTAGTGGAAGAGTTTGTATATTTCCTCTTTAAACATTTGATAGGATTCAGTGAAGCCATCAGGGGTAAAGTTTTCTTTGTGGATAGGTTTTTAAACTACAAGTTTATTTTTTTTTTTTAAAAAGTAGATGTAGGTCAAGTTAACCATCTTTTTGACTGAGCTTTGGTAGTTTGCATCTGTCAAGTAATTTGTTCATTTCTACTAAATTTTAAAATGTAATGACATATTGTTGTTTATGATATTTTATTATCTTTTAACATCTTTAGGTTATGAAGTGATGCCCCCCGCCTTGCAATCCCAATATTTGTAACTTATGTGTTTTCTCTTTCTGTCTCAGTTGTTTTTCCTCATCTGCCTGACTAATGGTTTATCAATTTGATCAATCACTTGTTTAAAAAAAAAAAAAAAACACTTTGATTTCATTAATAGTCAATACTGTTTTTTTTCTCTTCTAGTTTATAGATGTCTTAATTATATTATTTTCTTTTGTGTACTTTGTGTTTTATTTGCTCTTCTTTTTTCTTCTTTTCTATTTTGAAGCTTTTGAGATTTTTTTTTCTAAATATAAGCTTTAATGTGAGAAATTTCCCTCTAAGAACTGTTTTAACTGCAGCACACATATTTTGATCTGTGGTATTTTTATTTTATTAAGTTCAAAATATTATCTCATTTCCTTTGTGATTTTTTTTTTATTGTTAACCCGTGACTTACTTAGAATCATATTGTTTAATTTCTGCTTGTTTGTGATTTTCCTTCCATATCTTCCTTAATGATTTCTAGTTTAATTTGTTGTGGTTAGAGGACATACTTTGTATCATTGCGGTCCTATTAAATTTATGGAACCTTGTTTTCCGATGCAGAATATGGTATATTTTGGTAATTTTCTTTATAGTGTACACTTGTAAAAAATTAGTTTTATGCTGCTCTTAGTGAATTTTCTTTTTATATATTACTGTTAGTTAAAGTTGGTAATAGTGTTTTTTGTAAATCTGTGTCAGTACGGATTTTCTGTCCACTTGTTCTAACAATTATAGCAATATACATAAGAAAGGAGTCGTTGATATACCTCATGCTAATTGTGTATTTGTCTGTTTGTTATTTCAATTCTGTCAGTTGTGCTTCATATATTTTGAAGCACTGTTATTAGGTACATACACATTTAGGGTTGTTTTGACACCTTTAGATATTTATTCCTTTATCATTATGAAAGGCTCCTTTTTATTTCTGGTAATATTCCTAGTTCTCAAGGCTTTTTTTGATCTGATGTTGATATAACCAATCCAGATTTCCATATTTTAATAAGTATTTATGTAGAATATATTTTTCTATTCTTTTATTTAACTTTTTTTTTTAAGTTGATTTCTTGAGATAGCACATATTTGGGTTCATATCTGACAAGGTTCCTTTTATTTAAATACTAGATAGACTTTTTCACTTAATATGTCTATATTATTAAATTTAAATCTACCACTGTCCTCTTTTTTTGTTGTTGTGTCTCACCAACTCTTTTTATTCTTTTTTTCTACCTATTTTCGGGTTGAGGTTTTTTTTATTATTAGTATTATTTAACTTTTTTTAATCTTTTGAGCTCTATATGAGTACTCTTGTACTCTTTTAGACCAACTATGTATTTGGGGATGAAGGTCCTAGTTGGCTCTTTCTCATGTAAACGTGTGGAATAAATTGCTCTTTCAAATTACTCTTTTCTTTCTATGATTTTATGACAGCCTCTACCTCACTTCATGATCAGGGGAAAGGGTAGGGTATATACATTAGATCTGTTCTTCTGAAATAAATCATTGAGGCCTACCCCTTAATGATTTTATTTTCCTCTTTTTATTTCCTCTCTTAGGAATTAGAAATTAAGAAAATGGCCAAAATTGGTAATAAAGAAGCTTGCAGAGTTTTAGCCAAACAGCTTGTACATCTACGGAAACAGAAAACAAGAACTTTTGCTGTAAGTTCAAAAGTCACTTCTATGTCCACACAAACAAAAGTGATGAATTCCCAGATGAAGATGGCTGGAGCAATGTCTACTACAGCAAAAGTAAGTGGGAGCCTTTATGTCTATAGGCTTAGAGTTTAAGATATTTAAATATCAATATTCAAATCAGATTTAAAAGTACCTCCTGATATATATGTAGTAAAGAAATTGTAATTTTTAGTAAAATGAATTAGAGTATTAGAAAATCCTGGTAACTACTTCTAGATACTTTATTCATTTGTTTTAATATAAAATGTCTTGTTTAGGGACATTTCCATTGTCCCAAGCTCATATGTGGCTTTTAAATTTTTTAAATTGACTTAAAACAGTGTTTGCTTTTTTTTCTTAAATTGTCAGAGATTTTTGAGGTTATTATTTCATTAAGCTGTAAGGTTTGATTACTTTAGAGTTGTAATTTCCTCTTGATTCATTTTTATTTATGTGTCAGAAGGACACATGAATACTATCAGGAGAATTTATCAGTTAATTTTAATAGGAACTTACGTTTAACTTAGTCTTTATATAAAAAATGTTTCCACTATAGAATTTAAAGTGCTCTGAGCCTTTTGATTTTTTAATAAATAATGAGCTTCTCGTTGCACATGAAGTACTGTGAGGAATAAGAAGTTTAAGACAAAAACTCTGCGCTCACAGATCTTATTGTTCACTTGGGGATAAGTGGTTAAGATCTGTCTGAAAAGGAAACACACTGTGTGTCAGTCTTTGCTAAACTTTAGTGAACTGCACAGATCTTTGAATGGAATGATTCGAAAGACTTTGTAGAAGACCTAGGTCTTAAAAACTTCACTAGGTGTTATATACAGTCAAGAAGAAGTATGAATATAAAAGCAAAAGGTAAAAAAAAGCCACAGAGGAGAGAAAGTATAAGGTTCACATTCAGAAGATGATATATGCAGTTGATTCTTTTTATTCGCAGTATTTAATACTCTGTAAAGTTGGGAACACTATCATTGATTCATGGTTAATGCACTATAACTCATGCCTAAACAAAGCTTATCTAACAAGGTGTATTTTCTCATAAGCATATCACATCATTTTTGCACTTAGGAACACTACGTAACACTTTAGTACTGTGCTTGGGTACCATTTTAAAGAGCAAAATCACCAACAAGGCACACACATGAGTCAATAAATAAACAGCAAAAAGGATACTTGTTTACTTTCTGAGAGCTGAAACAAGAAGGCAGTGTTGCCTTGTTTGACCTCACCTGAAAAATGTGCCTGTTGTGCAACTCAAATTTTTGTTGCTCTGTGCTTGTCCACAAATGAGCACAAAAGCACTGCGAGATTGCTTTGAGGTTACAAATAAATTTTAGTGAGTAGGCAAATTCATAAATATGGAATCCAGAAATAATGAGGATCGACTATAATTGTTTTTGCAATTTTCTGCAAGTGGTAGAGAAGGAGAAGATACCTAATATGTCCTGCCATATACAGATGTCTGGACTGGAATTTTTACTTAAATTTCTTAGAAATGAGTTAATTCAGCAAGTATTTGTTTAGATCCTAAAGGTAGGAACTATAACAAGTGATAAGGATGAAGTAGAAAGGAAAACCAAGGGCTTAAACTGTAATAGATCGCAGTCTGTTTAAAAATCACCCCATTCGAGAGGTAGTTTTGTGCTGTGATTAAGAACATAAGTTCTAGAGCCAGATTACTTGGGTTCACATCTCACCTCCACTAAATAGATGTGTGACCAGGGCAAGTTATTTCACCTTTCTGTGCCTTCACTTTCCATTAATGATGCAGGGAAAATGGTAGTACTTAGCACATAAAGATTTATCAAGTATAAATGTTATTTAATTTTAAATATGATATATATATAAAGTGCTTAGAATAGTGTCTGACACACAGGTTATATAGGCATTAAATGCTGTATTATAATTATTATTGTTTAAAATAATTTCTTTACAATAAATAATTGTATGTATAATAGTATAAGTTGCAAGTAAAGTATTATAATTTATGCTAATAAATAAAAAATTTCATCTATAGTGAGTAGGATTTAACAGAGGTACATATTCTAATATGGGATATCAGAAACTACTCTCTGAGAAGGTGATATATAAACTGAAATCTGAAGTGTTGATCGTAAAAACAAATGTAGAAGTGAGTGGTAGCATCTTCAAAGGTCCTGTAGTAGGAGAGAACATGATATATTTAAAGAAATGAAAGATCAGTGTGATTAGAGGGCAATGGTGTGAAATGAGACTGGCTTGTTAAGTAGAGTTTAATTGATGTTTGGTCTCACAGGCTCCTTATGGAATTTGACTTTTAATACTAAGAGTAATGGAAAGCCACTGGGGAGTTAGGTGTGTATGAGCCGAGGGGTATGTAGTGTCGTAACTAAAGATTACCTTGGCTGCAGCATTGCCTACAGATTGTCTGAGAAAAGACTGTATGCTTTACATCTTTGAAACCAATGTTTTATACTGCATAGTGTCTTTTAATACTGAACTAACTTTATATAACACATATAAATTATATATTTTATATGTACATATTTTGGCTATACTAATGGCATTAACCTCTTAAATAAGTTGCGAATTAAATGTAAGAGAATTCTTTGCACATATTTTTGCAAAATTCAGTGTTTTCTATTTTTAAACCATGGTTTAAAATACATTAATGGATTTAAGTACATATGCTAATATATCATTTTTAATTAGACATTAAATTAGTGAAAAATCTTGTAAAAATTAAGTTAAAATTTGCTTTAATTAAGATATTATATAAATTAAATTATGTGGTAAGCATACCACATAATAAATAAATATAGTTTTCCCATTCGAATAGCAATGGATTTTGTTGATACTGTTTTTTATTACATGATTTTTTGCTTACCGTTCAGATGAGTTTTTTTGTTTGTTTTTTTTTATGCCAGTCTTTATTATATAAATGTTAAACAGATGGTTTCCAAACCAGTATTTTATTTTTTTCAAGAATACATAACATTTTTATGTGTAGTTATGGCAGAATGTATAACTTTTCAAAGCCCACCTCTCTTTGATGTATTCCCTTTGGACTTATCCACAGTAACATTTTCATAATTATGTAGCTAACATGAATGTTTTCATATTTTAAAGACAATGCAGGCAGTTAACAAGAAGATGGATCCACAAAAGACTTTACAAACAATGCAGAATTTTCAGAAGGAAAACATGAAAATGGAAATGACTGAAGAAATGAGTAAGTTTAATAACTTGTAATGTAATGTACAGTTTTCTCATCTTTGAATTATCCAAGTTTATTTACAAGTAACTTCATATTTTCATCCATGAAAGCACAAATATTGAAAAAAGATACAGGACCCTTCTAGATAGACATCTCTATTGTAACTCTAATGTATTTTTAAATTGGCAATGTATAAGGCTCAAAATTTTATTAACTGAAGGATAAATAGAAAATGCCATATTTTTATGTCTTATTGGCCCTAGCAGTTTTACTTTATTGATTAGTGGACCAAAACCAACTTGTGAATAAAATAACTCTTCCTGGTATAAGTTGTGTGGTTTCAGAGTTGTGTTGATTCTTTCATACTGTAGATCTTGGAGGCAGAGATGATGGAGTTCTTTCATTCTTTTTTTTTTTCCTCTCCCAAAGTTATTTAAAATTTAGTTTTCTTTTTTTTTTAATATAAACTTATTGCATGCTGTGGTGAAAATATGGAAAACAAAGGGGAAAAGTATATTATAAAACATCTATCATCACACCACTCAGATATAGTTGATGTTGTGTTTTTTTCTTTATTTTCCCATAACCTATAATAGTTATATCATATTACATGTACAATTTTGAACTTCATCCTACTTTTAAAAAACAATAGTATAACATAAGCATGTACTCATGATCTTAAATCTTCTTTGGTCTTTTTTTAAAAAAATGTTTTATTATTGCATAACATTAATATTAAATAACATCAACTCTAATTTATTGAAACATTCTTACATTGGTCAATAAGATTGTTTTTAAATTTTCAGTATGCTTAATAACCCTTTGATAAATGTTTCTATATTATCTTTGTGTAAATTTTTTAAATCTCCTTGGAGTATGAATTTTTATAAGGCTTTTGGTTCATATTACCAAATTCTTCTCAGAAAGACTATACCAGTTATTATTTCACCATAATGAATGAGTGACTCTTTTCAGCATCCTAGTCAACATTAAATTATTACTTATGTGATGATCTCAAAACTAGCAACATTTTTGCAAAGATTTTTAAAAATTATTTCAATTATAGTTTATATACAATATTAGTTTTAGGTGTACAGCATAACGATTAGGCGTTAATTAAACTTACAAAGTGATCACTACAATAAGTCTAATACCCGCCTGACACCATATTTATTACAATATTATTGACTATATTCCCTATGCTTTGCAATGTTAATAAAATATTGAACCTTACACTTTGTTAGAATATTCTACCTACATGTTGAATGTAAATTTAAGAAAGCTGAAATTATAATTATAGGCATAAAAAGAGGAAATTTTCTTCCAAATGTTTATAGGATATTTGTTTCTTATATTTTTTTCCATGGTCAGGTTTAATAGCTCATATTCAATTTGCGGAATCATATTTAAAAAATTTTAATCCTATAGCTATGGATATCGTATAGTTGTTTATTAAAGGTTTGTTAAATAATTTTTAAAAATCTGAGTATATTTGTTTTATTATAGGATAATTTGTGTTGAAATGAATGTTATTCCAGATTTATTGCCTCAAAAATGTATTTATCATGAACTTCATTGACATTTGAAAATGACTTTTGTAATTTGTTGGTTCACTTAAATTTGCCTTTCTGTAATATACAAACTATAAATACATAGTTGGACCACCTTCTAAAAATGTAAATCTAACCTGAAATCTATTTGAAAGTAACTGCTTTGTTTCACCCCTTCCCCCATACACAAGTCAATGACACACTTGATGACATCTTTGATGACTCTGATGATGAAGAAGAAAGCCAAGATATTGTGAATCAAGTTCTTGATGAAATTGGAATTGAAATCTCTGGAAAGGTAGGAGTGTCACCTATTCGCAGCTGGAAATAGTTTCTACTGCTTTTGTCACTTAATTATTTTAAGTTGTCCTTTACCGTTAAGTTCGTGATTTTATATTTGTTTGAAAAGTAAATTAAGCCTCTTTGTAGCACATCTTTTATGTCCTATCCCAAATGTTTGGTAATACTCTTTTTTTTTTCTTTTTCTCTCTTTAATATAGATGGCCAAAGCTCCATCAGCTGCCAGAAGCTTACCATCTGCCTCTACTTCAAAGGCTACGATCTCTGACGAAGAGATTGAACGACAACTCAAAGCTTTAGGAGTAGATTAGTCCAAAAAGCCATAACACTTTGCTTATAATTATTTACTGGAAACCAGGTACATTGAAGATTTCTTTTACAAAACACATTGATTTTTCAAAAATGAAGACCACAAATGAACATTGTTTCCTAAACTCATAGCTATTTTGAATCTTTTGCCAAAGAATGACAGCGTTAGAAAATGAGAACACTTTGGATTTTAATTAGAACTATTTAGGAGTGTTGATGTGTAAAAAGTTGACTTCTTTTTGCATGGCATAGAGAAATTATGTTCATTACTTTGCGTAGTTTATGTTCTAAATCTTTTTACAATGAATACAGAAATCTTGTTAAATGCTAGTAGGCACCAACTTAAAAGAGTCTTGTAAAAATATTAAAAGTATATCATTAATTCTGTGTCTGTTACTTGTCCTTTGTAAGTGATATGTGTTATGAACATAGGTGATTAAGATACCAAATTATTTTTAAATGACCTAAATGAAGAGTGCTGTTTAAACATCTGTCTTAAACAAAAACTGTCATGAGTTTTTCTTTTTTTTTCCTTTGAGAGACATTCTAGTTGGTAAGTTTATTACTTTTCGAAATGTGCTTGGCACTTGCCTTAAACAGCACAAACATATTGTGCACATCTTTAAATTATTTTAACTGACAGAAAAGAATTACATTTTCAAATAAAATTGAGACTTCTTACAAAAATTATCCAGGCTGTCTTTTGTAAAGCTTATGAAAGTGAATTGAATGTGTTATCAAAAACAGACAGTAAATTAATGACATTTAATAGTAAAAAAACAATATATTTTGGTCTTCCAAGAACTGAGATTTTCTCCATATGAATTATAATTTAATCTCTATTTAATTTAGAACTGTATTAATATGCATATTGAACCCTCTAAATTGAAGCCGTCATTCTCAGTTAAGTAACACTACTATGACAATACTTGACTTAAATTTTAAAATAAATATTAGCACTTTTTGCTTAGTGAATAAACTACAACTTTGTTAGAAATTACTGCCTAAATGTGTATTAATGTCTTAGCAGTATTTTTTTAAGATAAAGTTCCTTTGGTATTTAATGTATGTATAGAAAGTGAGAAGAAATCAATAAATGGTAGATTAGTTAGAAGTAGAATTTAGAATTAGGTTAGTTTTGAAAAATGATATTGTAATATATAGGTTCTAGCACATCCCACCATAAAACTCCTGGAGGAGATCAGATAGGTGTAACTTGGTTAATTTGGAATGATGGACATTTTAGACTAACATTGACAATATAGTACATTTTAGATCTAGTATTTGGATTGATGGGAAAATGAAAAGCTAAACGACATAGTTTATAATCTGTAAACCCTTGTATAATGTTCAAAGGTAAGGTTCCATTATGATAATATTAAATACCGTTACCCAGAACATTTATAAATCAAGATTTTCTGGATTATGGAATGTTAACTGAGAACTTGTTTTGATTCTTGGATGTACATAGTAATGCCAACTAACTTAATTTACTTTCTTGTTTACACATGGGGGCTTTTGTTTTTAAAAATTATTTTGTTAAAAAATCCCAATAAAGATTTATTGCTATTTTTCTTTTTTAAAATCTCTTGCTCTATTTTTGGCTTCTGCCAAAGTTAAAATTTTTATGCATATCTGGTAATTTTTCAAAAGAATGATTTTTATTATTTTCCTGGAAAGAAAATTAGATAACTATGCTACTTACATTTTAACAAAAATTATATTTTTAAGAATTAGTTGAAACAATGAAATTTCAGAAACAGCAATGAAAAGAAAATTCCTTTTGCAATTTCAACAAAAAGAATGAAGTACCTAAGAATAAACAAAGGATGTGAAGGACCTATACATTGAAAACTACAGACATTATTAAAAGAAATTGAAGAAGACACAAAGAAATGTAAAGATATTTCAGTGTTCATGGACTGAAAAAAATCAACATAGTTAAAATTGTCATAATCTCCAAAGCAATATATAGGCTTAATGTAGTCCCTATCAAAAACCCAGTGGCATTTTTAAAAGACTAGAACAAAAATTTATCAGATTTCTATGGAATCACAAAGACCTCAAATAGCCAAAGCAATCCTAGAAAAAAAGAAAAAGGCCAGAGGTATCACACTTCCTGATTTCAAAATATACTACAAAGCAACAATAATCAAAACATCATCATATTGTCAGGAAAACAGACACACAGACCAGTGGAACAGAATTGAGAACCCAGAAATAAACTCACACATATATGGGCAAATAATTTTCAACAAAAGAGCCAAAAACATACAATGGTAAAAGAAAAAAAAAAAAAAAGCCTCAGTAAATGGTGCTGGGAAAATTGGAGAGCCACATGTAAAATAATGAAACTAGACTAATATCTGTCAACATATACCAGAATTAACTCAAATGAATCAAAGACCTAAATATAAGACCTGAAACAAATTGCATAGAAAAAAATATATGTACTAAACTCATAAGCTTTGGTTTTAGAGAGGATTTTATGAATTTGACCTCAAAGGCAAGGTAAGTAAAAGCAAAAATAAAGGAATGAGACTATATCAAACTAAATAGCTTCTGCACAGCAAAAGCAGTCACCAACAAAACAAAGAGGCAACTATCTGAATGGGAGAAGATATTTGCAAACAGCACCTCTGATAAGAGGCTAATATCCAAAATATATCAAGAACTCACACAACAACAACAACAAAGAAAAACAATCCAATTAAAAAATGGGCTGAGGACCTAAACAGACACTTCTCCCAAGAAGACATACACTTGGCCAACAGACATATGAGAAGATGCTCAACTTCACTAGCTATTAGAAAAATGCAAATCAAAACAACAATGAGATACCACCTCATACCTGTAAGAAGAGCTATCATCAACGAGACAAGTAAGTGTTGGGGAGGTTATGAGAAAAAAGGAACCCTCATATACTGCTGGTGGAAATGTAAATTAGTATAGCCACTATGGAAAACTGTATGGAGGTTCCTTGAAAAATTAAAAATAGAATTACCAAATGACCCAGCAATCCCTCTTGGGTATCTACCGTTCCTCGCAAAATGAAAATATTTATCTGTAAGGATATATGCACCCCAATGTTCATTGTAACAAATTCATGGTGGCCAAGACGTGGAAACAACTAAAATGTCTTTTCATAGGTGACTAGATAAAGAAGAAGTGATACATATATACAATGGAATTTTAGAAGAAGAGATGAAATACTGCCATTTGTGACAACATGGATCTTGAGATAATCATGCTAAGAAAAATAAGTCAGATATAAAAAGTTAACCATATGATTCCACTCGTGGGATATAAAACAAAGCAACAGTGAACAAGACAAACAAACAAAAACTCAGACACAAATAACAGTTTAGTGAGGAAAAGTGAGGAGAAGAGAGAAATAAAGGTAAAGAGACTCAAATATGGTGACAAGGAGATTTGACTTTGGCAAATACGCAGTGCAATATACAGATGATGTGTTATTGTACACTTGAAACCTATATAATTTTATTAACCAGTGTCACCACAATAAATTTAATCGAAGAAAAGAATTAGCAGTTGGTACAGGACTAGTGATTGTGAGTGGAGTAAGCCTAGGAATTAGGTGGTTTCACACGAAATTGATCTGACAATTTGTTTCCTAGCACTTCCAGGAAATAAACATGAAAAAAAATTTTTTAAACACATTAGTCTTAGTGAAGTCTTTCATTTCAGTCAAATGTGGATGCCAAAGAAGATTTAGGGACCCAAAGGAGAGAGTAGTCATTCTTACTCGGCTACATTTATAAAATGCTCTCGTGACAGTTTTCACAATCACTATAAATTTGTAACGTTATGCTATTTTTTGCTAAAAATAAAACTGTTCCTTTAAGATTCAAAAACAAGGATTCTTGTACATTGAGTTTAATGAAAATATTGATTTTTTTTAACTTGCTTTTCCTAACTTCCCATTTTTGGCAAAAGGATTTTTTAACAACTGCATTCAAACAAGAGGTTGCCAGTAGAGCAGAAGGGTATAGCAATTTCTCTGTTACTGAAGAGGATGCAACCCACTGTCACATTCTGTTGCTGAATGTAAAAGACATGGATGGAGCAGATTTCAGAGTATCAAGAGAAGTAGAATGTGGTACAAAAATGTCAATACTAATAATAGTATCTAATCTTAGAAAACAAAAAATTAACCATCTGTCAGACAATTGTGTTGCACAGATCCTATGCCCTGAGTATAATACCTGGTTATGGCAGGGCCTGGTGGAAAGGGGCCTACGATTGTGACCCTATAAATTAGTGGGGGCAATCTGGCAGCCAATGGGTTTTATGTTATTTGACATGCATGGTGACCTGTATTTTATTATTTGTGTTTGAATGCCTTTAAGGGAAGCTTAATACTTTCCCCTCCGCCACGTGTACATTCCTTACTAGCCCAGTAGCCACACTTTTAGCCTGATGCCTGTGACCCTAATTTAAATATGCACTCCTATTTCAAACACACATTAAAAAGGCGTGCATCCAGGGGTGAAAAGAGATCATGATGACTATCTCCTTTGATGCTATTACTCTTCTAGGTTTTTGCTGCTGTAGAAAAACAGATCAACTTTCCAATTTCCTCTCTGTGGAAGCTGAGTCCCACAAAAGGATTTAAGACCATTTCTTCTTAATTCCTTCGAGACTCAATTGGATCCAATTTGCCTGAGGATAGTGAAGTCTGATTTCTGGTACCCTATTGTTGTAACACCACACACATTACCTTCCTCCCACCAACATCATCCTCTCACGAACTTGAAAATACACACACACACACACACACACACACACACACACACACACACGCACGCACCTTTCATCCGTAAACACAAAGAATTTCTTTAACTAGACAAATCTTTCGATGATTAGAGATGGGAAGATCAATTTTATGAATGAGTAATCAACCACCTCTACCAGATAAAATTGAATGAACCAATAAGTATAAGTGATAAACAGATCTTTTCATTTTAATGGACTACTCTACTGAATTATTGAAGATTTACCACAGAAGAGCTCACAAGAAAATAAGATAAAAAGGCTGTATGGCTAAAGTCAGCTTTTAATGTTTATTCCCGAAAGAATGAGCACATAGATACTGCACAGTAAATTACATTTGTCATTTGTTTAATTGCAATTTAGAATTATAAATAACAGTATTTTTTTTTATTTTTCAAAAAGATCAATATCTATTAAAATATCTCAATATAGTTAGAAAATGTAGTCTTAAAACTCAATACAAATAAATTAATAGTAGATACCAATACATTTACAACTAACATGAATATCTAAATAACCTAAGAATTGTTATTTCAATATTAAGTATTATTTTAAAATAATTTAAGAGGAAAAATTGGTTCTCAATGCTAATTGTATCTAAACCTGAAAATAATGATCTGTGGGTGAATGTTGATGATAATATGATTTAAATGTACATGTGTGATGATTAAGCGTGCATACATGCTTTTTTTTTGTTATATAAAATAAGTCAGATTAAACAGTCCCAGCAAATTCATATTTAAAGTGCAAAAAATCACTATCCTGGATTTATATGGCATTATATTTTGCTATTTGCAAGTTTTAATGACGTGCATATATATATTTTTATCTTTGTATGTATACATGTACATCCTACCCTGCCTTTTACAAAGTAAAGAATTCTTTCCTCAATTAATGTATGTTTTAAGCAGGTGAATTATCAAAAGAAGAAATTTAGACATCTACATAGCTGAGTAATTTGGAATTTACTCTTGAATAAGAAGCTTTTATATGTTTATTTTATTGTAATACCTTTTAGGTGCTAGATGTGTACTTAAGCATGAGTGATCAGGGCACTGAAAATTTTGTTGTTAATATATCAAAGTTTCTATCATCCAATTGATCATGATTATATATGCACAAATATACATGATCTATATAGATTAAGACCTATATGATACTTGGTTTTTATTGATATCACAAAAAGCAAGAGACGGGACAGTACAATTTACTTAGTAAGCATTCTAAGTCAATAATAAAATTTGGCTTAATTCTTATTTTTGTTATATAAAATAAATTAGGTAAACACTGCTAGCAGATTTATATTCAAAATGCAAAAAAAGTTACTATTTGATGTTGATATCACATTATAGTTTGCTTTTACTTGAAAGTTTCAAAGAAGAGCATTCTAACAAATTAACATGTTTCTTGAGATGCAATTCCTTGAATTTAAAAGCTCAATATATCAATTTTTTATTAATAATAAATCATATTCCAACCAATTAAACCAAAAGTAATAGCCTTTCTTATAGGACCCCAATTTGGTGCGTTGTGAGATTTCAAAAATAAATTATGTTATTAAATTAGGCACCCTTCAAGTCTGTAGCCATTAACAGCACACCCCTTCATTTAACAATGAATAAATCATTAATCAAATTAAAGATTGCATGCCCACTATGAGCAAATGCTTTCTCAGGCACTGGAGAAAAAAAAAAGCAAACAAACTGGCATCTCCCCTGTACTGATGTAGCCTATAGAATAGTACTTTGGGGCTCGAGACTCCATAAAGTGTATTTTCTATAGCTGAACATTAGAAAAATTAATGTCTAAGGAGAATAAAAAGATCATAATGTTTCTACAAATCTCTATTGAAACACTTCTATGAGTGCTATGCCCTAAGTATATTAGCTTCAGAGGTATCACTTCTGATTAGGGTTATTCCTAAATGTAATAATAAAATTCTAAGGCACCTCTGGCTCTTATGTGCAAAACGTTGACTTTAAACTTATGGTAAGCAGGACATTGGTGATTAACTATGCGATATTACTGACTAAAATGTTAAAAAGCTAACATACATCCTTTAGAAAAGGAACCTTTAAACTAGAAGACACTTGTGCACATTAGTCAGTGTGTGTGTGTATATAGACAAATGACAGATAGATGATAGATAGGTGGGTGAATGGATAGGGAGAGAGATTGAGAAAGAGAATCATTGTTTTATTCCTATTATATCTTTGTGTTAAAATGTACAATGTGGCTTCTGAGAATAATTATTTTAAAGAGAATAATTTATCAATATAACTTAAATTTTATATCTTAGAACATCAAAAAGAAAAGCTTCTGCAAACATTATTGATATAATTTTGAAGCCAAACAAATAACTAATTTTTATTTTTGTTAAAGAAGAGAAAGGAACAAAAAATAGAAATTTTTGCAATTACACAATAAGAAATCTTATCTGCATTCAAGATTTTCCTTGGAAATAGTAAATAAACTCTGATTCAGACTTGTTTTCACTCGTTTTTCTCTCTGCCTTCGGTTGCAAAACCAAACTCTTACTACTTCTTTCTCAAGATTCAATTCTTCAGCCATCCGCAAAATCTCTTGAGAGGAAGGTTTATTCTGTTCTCCAAAGTGTCTCTCCAGAGCATCTTTAGCAGCAATACTGGGAGATGGGTTTGGGAGCAGAGGATGAGGTTGGAGAGGAAGAGTGAGGTTATGTTTTTAGTGATGTTTCTAGCAGATCAAAATTCAGTAAGACTGAATTTCCTAAATATTAGCATGACAACCAAACTTAAAGATTCTTAAAACACCTTTAAAGCTCTTCAACAAAGATAAATGTGTCAAACTTTTAGATGTTAGTCCTGTGCAGGGTACCATTATCAGAGTCCTGGATAAAAATAAGTAGAGAAACCCAGATTTTCTGTTTATCCCACTTAATGCCACAAGAGGGTGCTGACTTCCTGAGGAGAGGAACACTTCTGTAGCCATTTCTAAAAGTCTCACCAGAAATCCCTTGTTATTTACAGTAGATGAAATGTTTAGTGAACAATCAACCAACCAAAACCTATATTTTAGCCTTTTTTTGTGTGAGCCTCACAGAGATTACAAAAAGATCAAAGAACAATCTTTTTTGCTTTAAATTGTAAGGAGTCACTGTGGACTTTAAGATGCTGCAATATTGGTTACTAGTTTTATTTTTAATAACACAGATACCATATTGCCAGAGCAAGCCATATATAACAAGACATCAAAAACAGTCACCCTTTTTAAAAGTAACTGTTCAGTTTTTGTTTTATCCAAAATTGTGGAGCGAAAGTGTTCTCAAATTGAACAATACGTACTTTTTCATTAAATGTTTAAAATTACCAGCTCTTCGCTTCTCATGATTGTTATTAAAATATGTTTTTTCACCTTTCTTATTTTTTCAATTGACTTTATTCACCTTACATTTACATATTATATTGCACCTATATTACACTAAAAGCATATTCCATTAGTAAAATATATTTTTTCTTCCTCCAGTAACTTAATATCTCAAAAGCATACCTTATAGTTGTTCTCCGTTTCCTTTTCCTTTCATTTACTCCTGCTTTTTCATTGTATAAAGCTGTAATGGGGGAAAGAG